ATTATGTTATGATCATTCAGATATTCATAGAGTAAACAATTATAAAAATATTTCTCACTTTTATCATAAAAATAACACTAAATTCTAAAATGTATATCTTTAAATATTATTGCTTCAGATAATGAAAAATATGCTTGCATTGAACTATAATATGTATGATACAAACATGTCTAACATAAAAGAAATACAACATAACTTATCAAACAACCCAATAAGTTTAATTATATCTTAAATTTTCAATTTTGTTAAACATCAATTTCTTGCATTTGTTTCATGTATTTTCTGTAACTACAATTATACATATATAATATATTACTTTCTGTCAATTCCATTTAACATTTGTAGGTATATAAAAAGTATCAAAATTGATTTTTAAAGTTGTTTTTTTTTTTTCAAACTAAAAACATTTTAAAATCTAAATTATCAATATACAGGGTGGTCCAAATAAAGTGTTATAGTTCAATATCTCATTACTCATTCAATGATTAAAAATAATTTTTTGTCAGTTTTGAGTTACTACTTAAGGCACTAGTTAATCAACTAAAGAACTCCCATATGACTCCACATGGAGGGTGGGATAAGAGTCAACTTCAAAATTTTAAAAAAGAATTCTATCAAAATATTAACATAGGAATCTACTGTACACTAAAAAAGCAGAAACTTTTCATCTGACAGTTTTTCTTAAATCATATTTTCTACAAAAAACCTTATGTAAAGAAGTAACAGTAAACAGATTAGTATAGAAATCAATTTGAAAAAAATTATGAATTTTTCTTTATTCGGATAGCACTCCATTTACATTCCATGAGACAACACATGTAGTTCCAACATATGCAGATTTTCAGATTTTTACAAATCAGTCTTTACCCAGCTGATATATATATATACCCAGCTGATATATATATATGACTAAGGCAACATGTGGTAAATATATATATATATATACCACATGTTGGCTTGGTATAACTGGTTCATGTCTAATACTACCCTAAAAAACAATGTTGGGCACTAAAATTACAATGTAAAGGGTGCAAGAATGTTCTATTTCACAGATTTCAGCCACCACTCAGCATCACACAGTACCATTTTGACACAATTTCACTGATGAGATTAAAGTCTATTTGGAATGAAACAAACTGATGACATTTTAAAATAAAGTACTGTATACACTTCACAGTGAATATTCTGTAGATATTTGAATGACTTTGGCTATACCTTACTAATGATATAGTAGGTATCATGAAAAGTATGTACTACTCATATCCATTTTCTGAAGAAACTGAAATAAAAGTCACTTTGGAAATCAATCTCTTCAAATACAGTATTTTCATGATTAGATTTAGTAAGAATAAAAGACAGTATGTGATAAAAAAAAATATATATATATATATATTATTATTATTAACTAATATAAAAAAATGGTGCATTTAATTTTAATTTTTGACACAAACTAGACTTTACAAAACCAAGCCTTAAGTGGGAAATAAATTAATGTTTACAGTTTGCATGTTGGCAATAAGAGTTTTTTTCATTTTTTAACAAAATAGCAAATTCTTTGATGAATGAATCATCTTTCCCATGATCCCATTCATGGTGATGGTGCTTCCTGGGAATCTCCTAGCAACCCTCAGTAGTAGAGTTAGGGACTTTGTCAGAAATTTCAACCAGTTCTGCCCTTACAAACATTACTGACACAGAACACCAACAGTGCAACATTCAATGTGGTCCCAGTTCTGAAGTTTTTTCTGACTTTTTCTGCCCTGTGGGCATTAAGAGGGCCTTTTCATCAAGCCCATCCTGGGTTCAGTCAGGCCCACAAGAGAGCAATCGGATGGTGAAAGACAAAACCCAACATATCTGGGATGGACTACCCCTAGAAAAATTCCTGGGGTTTTTGACCCAAGTGGATTCATTTCCAGATTCCCCAACTAATCATCTCTTTTCTCAGTGAAATGTAGCATTTTACTGAGCAACATTTTGTATGGTATATACAGAATTTGCAGTATACATCATACAAATGACATTTTACATGCTGTGGACATTTTTATACATAGAAATCACCCATAGGATATGTGCATTATGCACATGATACACGTTTTTTTCACTCAGCACAAGTTCTACAGTGGTAGGTTTTGGAACTAAATTTTTCCCCCACAGAAATTTCTCCCACATGTCCTGCAACATCATCACACAATATTTGGTTTCATTTGCATTGCTATATGTCCCTCTAGATGGTGCTGAATAGAGATACTTTAAAAAATTATGATCACCTTATATATTGATCTGAAAGACTGATACAACAACTTAAGGATTAATTAAATAAAAAACATTATCAATTAAATAGATTATTAACTCAAATAAGAAAATACTTTTCTTACCTGATTTTCATCTAACTTGTCTGTAATTATTGTCCAATCACCAACAGAATCGGAATCTCCACTTTCAGCCATAAAGTTAAATCATTTAAAACGTCAAACTTGAACTGAAATATAAAATCAATCATTTAAAATTTCCATGTATTCAATATAGTGCATTTCTTATACAGTAGACTCTCACTAATTTGGCCATTCCATGCTCAGAGGAAGTGCCAAATTATGCTAATTAAGTGCTTTTTGTATCTTAACATAATTATCTGTGTTAACATTAATGTAAACAGCAGCTAGTGTGCTTAATATATTTTTCCTTTCTCTTGTATTGTTTATGTCATATTTTTTGCATTATCTAAATCAGGGTTTCCCAATGGGATCAATACTGATCCATTAGGGGTCGATAAAAGTTTGAGGGGGTCAATATAACTTTGCAAATGTAAAAAATTTATTTTAAAATATTAAAAATTTTGCACATTTTTTGCTCTTAAATAAGTGTAGGCAGTGGCATAGCATGGGTGTCAGCCGCCTGGGGCAGAGGAAAATTTCGCCACCCNCGTTGCCAGTTACTATAGCAAGTGCTGAGCGCTCTTTCAGCAAATTAAAATTAATAAAGAATTATCTTCGATCCAGCATGTGTGCAGAACGCTTAATGCATTTGCTATATTAAGCATCGAAAAAGAAATTGCAAAAATTATAATTTTCCTGAAGTAATTCATGTATTAGCAAGAACAAAATCACACTTTAAATAAACATGCATTAATAGACTATATGTTCGTGTTTGTAATTTTTTATATTTTACAAAAAATGTAGGGCCCAAATAGTTTCTTGCACCCGGGCCCCTTTATAGAGAAGGTCGGCCCTGGTCACCACTGACAAATAAATAAAAAAAAAACAAAAACAAATCTTCACTTAGAGAGACAACCTTTTGTTTTTTTACTATGTAAATTATAATTAGCCAGTTTTTTAATGAACAATTTGTTTTAATTTATGGTACTGTCACCAGAAAGCTCTTTTTTAAACCAATTTACATTTTTTAAAGAGGCATAACCTCAAAAAAAGGTCATCTCTGTAAGACTTCTATCTTTTTTTGGTTTGTCAATGTGACTGTAAAACAATGACTTGTAAAGGCAAAATTTTTTTCTTTTCTTCAATACACAGTACTCTCTCCCACATCAGGTCCTTCCACCATGGGATGTAGCTAGATTTATAATATATAGCCATTTTGACCAATCCACCGTTGAGCATGATGTTAATGCACGGTCGCAGCATTCTGGGCATTAGTTAGAAGATCATATACACACCCTTATAAGTGGAGTGACACCATAATTGAACTACCACCACTGCACACTTCTTGGACATTATCATCATCCTTCCACCATATCCAGAACGATCAAAGACAATCAAAAACTTTTGAAAATACTTTACACTATTCCTACACCCACCTTTCTATACTGCAATATGTATATTTTTTAATTTTTTTTAAATTAAGGTTGCCTTGAAATTCATAGAAGAGTCCAATGCATCAACCACCACTGCCTTGATAACGATGAGACATTGGTGTGATGTATCAGCTCATTAGTGAATCAACAACAACAAAACAAACAACTTTAATACAGTATTTTCAAAATTAATTGTAATTGTCCAAAATAAGCATTGAAGTCAAAATAAGACTTTATTATACATACATACAGGCATATATATTACAGCCTTATTTAAAAACTCTTTCTTATCCAGATTTTTCTAATTTTTCTAAAAACTCATTGCTGCTCACATTAGTTTGCATATGTGAGAGTCAACTGTATTTTTATTAAGTAAATTATTTAGTAAAAATACAGTTCTCTCAAAAAATAGTAAATTTTTTGAATGAAATTTATTATAAGCAATGATATAGTAATTTGATGAAATTGATGATGCTGTTGATATAATAATAAGTGAAATTAAATTTATTTGTAGAATGATAACAAAGATAAGATTGAATTTTGTGTAAAGACAGAATATATGACAACATTTTCCATAAATAGATGAGTAATATCAAAATAGGCAATAGAAAAAACAAAAAATAAATTTTAAATTCACCAGAAGAGTCTGATGACATTGTACTCCCAGACTAAAAATAATGTTATATACTAGTATATCTTTCAGTGGTATCTTTATCTGTAATCTGTATCTGTAAAGCTTAAATTGTAATTATCCTTTCATGTTAAAAGTTCTAGAGTGCTTCCAACAGAGCATATTTAGTACAGCATTTCTACTAAAGTATAGTTATTTAAATAAGCAAGATATTACTGTGTGATCATTGATAAAAATACTTTGGCATAAAGATTTTGGTAAAAAAATTATTTCAAGTAGAAAAATTTTTGAGATTCTTTAAGGCATCATCAACATTCTATTGTGACAGATTGTAACACTCCCTGTTACAATCTGTCACAATATTTGTATATATCCCCTCCATATCATATTTGAATGATCCCAAAGGGAGAAGGGCAAACATCCTTCACATTGAGGATATTTGACTAATTAAACTTTTAATGGTTGAGATAAAAATACATAATGATAGTTTTTAAGCATTATATCATCTAGAAATATATAATACAGGAGTATTATTATTATAAAAAATTTAGTTCTACTTACTTGGTGTCTGGACAACTAGCATCATCCATTCTTGTTACTGTTTCATTTTGGGATGATATCTAATGTGTAATATTTAAAATATATAAATGATAACTAAGTAAATAAAAAATATTAGTTACTTTATTGCATTGTTTGATAAGTAATGCCACATTATTTTTAAGATTTTGAAAAAAAAAATTTATATTGATTAATTTAATTTAATATAACATGTACTGTACTTATCACTCTTTTCATTACTCCTGCCACCTTGAAGTCAATATTTCTATTTCATTCTGATAAAAACTTTCTGATTTCAATAGTCACTAGGAACCAGATCTGGTCAGTAAGAAATTATTGCAAAATTTTCCTGCCAAAGCTATTAATTTTTTGCATTGTGACTGTTGCAATGTGTGGATGGGCATTATCATAGTGTAATGTTATGCTTTTTCTATTGACTACAGCTGGTGATTCTTTTCAGAGTAACTCTATGCTGAAATGATCCATTACGAGGGCTGTTCAGAAAGTTCGCGGCCTTGCCTATATGCGGCAATGCGATCAATTTAATTTTTGGCGGGAATAATTCAGCCATCTTTGCTAAAGATACGATACCAATTTCCGCTTGATTTGTCAAAAAGTTTTGCCACAACAGCTTAGCAAATAGTAAGTGTGCACATGCTTTATCAAAAATGGAGAAGACGGAGACTCGTGCGGTCATAAAATACCTGACGAAAAAAGGGTTGACCCCATCTCAAATCAAAGCTGACATGGATGAAGTTTTAGGAGAGTCTGCTCCTTCATACACCACTGTGAAAAAATGGACAGCCCTTTTTAAATCTGGCAGAGAAAGTGTGGAAGATGACCCTCGCAGCGGACGGGCGTCAACTGCTGTCACTGAAGAAAACATCGACAAAGTTCACGATTTGGTATTAGCAGATCACCGTTTGAAAATGCGTGAGATAGCTGAGACAACAGGCATCTCTGTCGACCGAGTGCACCACATCCTAACCGAAGATTTGGGTATGACGAAGGTCTCAGCAAGGTGGGTGCCGCATCTGCTGACCGCCGAGCAAAAACGTGTTCGCACTTTGATGTCAAAGGAGTGTTTGGACTTCTACCAGAAAAACCCACAGGATTTCTTGCGTCGGTTTGTGACTACTGACGAAACGTGGATCCATTACTACACTCCTGAAACAAAAGAACAGTCGAAGCAATGGAAACACCACAGTTCGCCACCACCAAAGAAGGCAAAGACAGTTCCATCAGCGGGTAAAGTGATGGCCTCGGTTTTTTGGGATGCTAAAGGCATCATCTTTATTGACTACCTAGAAAGAGGAAAGACCATTAATGCTGTCTATTACTGTGAACTTTTGGAAAAACTGAAGAAAGAAATCGAAGAAAAGAGGCCACACTTGAAGAAGAAAAAAGTTCTGTTCCACCACGATAATGCACCTGCACATTCCGCCAGAATCACTGAACAAAAGATAAACGAACTTCGCTTCCAATTAGTTCCACATCCACCGTACTCACCTGATTTGGCCCCCAGTGACTTCCACCTTTTTCCAAACCTAAAAAAATTCTTGGCTGGAAAGAGATTCCACTCAAATGACGAAGTCATCTCTGAAGTGAACGAGTATTTTGCACACCTTGACAAATCGACCTATTGTGATGGCATAAAAAAGCTAGAACATCGCTGGAATAAGTGCATTGCTAACAGAGGAGATTACATTGAAAAATAAAAAAGTTTTAACATTATTTTGTTTATTTTTCTATGTGAGGCCGCGAACTTTCCGAACAGCCCTTGTAGTTGACAGTAAGTAGATGCTGCTATTGTTTCATTTTCATTGAGTAGTTCATAATAAATTATTTCACAAATATTTCACCAAATGCAGGGTAACACCGTTTTGATGTATAATACAATTTTGCTGCTGGTAATGATTGTTGTTTTGGTGATAACCATTGCCTTTTTTTCAATAATATTCACATACAGAACTATTTTTTCATTTATGGTTACTATTCAATCCAAAACTGGTGTGTAGGTTTGTCTTATCAGTAAAGCACTAGCAATTCATATACACAGTTCCTTCTGTGCATCAGTTAACTGATGGAATGGCTACACCCTCATAAACCACCTTACCAAGTGCTTTCAAGTATTCAAAAATTGATAAATACAATTTCTCAGTATACAATTTCTCAATACAGTTGTGGATTAGATTCAATTAATGTTTTAATTCTGTATAAGTCATATAAGGATATGATCACATGGTTCATCAGTAAGATTAAAACTGCCATTACAAAATTTCACAAACCACCCATGTCAACTTTTATGGCATTTTCCCTAAATACTTTAAACAAGCTTTTAGTCACTGTCATTATGTTATGATCATTCAGATATTCATAGAGTAAACAATTATAAAAATATTTCTCACTTTTATCATAAAAATAACACTAAATTCTAAAATGTATATCTTTAAATATTATTGCTTCAGATAATGAAAAATATGCTTGCATTGAACTATAATATGTATGATACAAACATGTCTAACATAAAAGAAATACAACATAACTTATCAAACAACCCAATAAGTTTAATTATATCTTAAATTTTCAATTTTGTTAAACATCAATTTCTTGCATTTGTTTCATGTATTTTCTGTAACTACAATTATACATATATAATATATTACTTTCTGTCAATTCCATTTAACATTTGTAGGTATATAAAAAGTATCAAAATTGATTTTTAAAGTTGTTTTTTTTTTTTCAAACTAAAAACATTTTAAAATCTAAATTATCAATATACAGGGTGGTCCAAATAAAGTGTTATAGTTCAATATCTCATTACTCATTCAATGATTAAAAATAATTTTTTGTCAGTTTTGAGTTACTACTTAAGGCACTAGTTAATCAACTAAAGAACTCCCATATGACTCCACATGGAGGGTGGGATAAGAGTCAACTTCAAAATTTTAAAAAAGAATTCTATCAAAATATTAACATAGGAATCTACTGTACACTAAAAAAGCAGAAACTTTTCATCTGACAGTTTTTCTTAAATCATATTTTCTACAAAAAACCTTATGTAAAGAAGTAACAGTAAACAGATTAGTATAGAAATCAATTTGAAAAAAATTATGAATTTTTCTTTATTCGGATAGCACTCCATTTACATTCCATGAGACAACACATGTAGTTCCAACATATGCAGATTTTCAGATTTTTACAAATCAGTCTTTACCCAGCTGATATATATATATACCCAGCTGATATATATATATGACTAAGGCAACATGTGGTAAATATATATATATATATACCACATGTTGGCTTGGTATAACTGGTTCATGTCTAATACTACCCTAAAAAACAATGTTGGGCACTAAAATTACAATGTAAAGGGTGCAAGAATGTTCTATTTCACAGATTTCAGCCACCACTCAGCATCACACAGTACCATTTTGACACAATTTCACTGATGAGATTAAAGTCTATTTGGAATGAAACAAACTGATGACATTTTAAAATAAAGTACTGTATACACTTCACAGTGAATATTCTGTAGATATTTGAATGACTTTGGCTATACCTTACTAATGATATAGTAGGTATCATGAAAAGTATGTACTACTCATATCCATTTTCTGAAGAAACTGAAATAAAAGTCACTTTGGAAATCAATCTCTTCAAATACAGTATTTTCATGATTAGATTTAGTAAGAATAAAAGACAGTATGTGATAAAAAAAAATATATATATATATATATTATTATTATTAACTAATATAAAAAAATGGTGCATTTAATTTTAATTTTTGACACAAACTAGACTTTACAAAACCAAGCCTTAAGTGGGAAATAAATTAATGTTTACAGTTTGCATGTTGGCAATAAGAGTTTTTTTCATTTTTTAACAAAATAGCAAATTCTTTGATGAATGAATCATCTTTCCCATGATCCCATTCATGGTGATGGTGCTTCCTGGGAATCTCCTAGCAACCCTCAGTAGTAGAGTTAGGGACTTTGTCAGAAATTTCAACCAGTTCTGCCCTTACAAACATTACTGACACAGAACACCAACAGTGCAACATTCAATGTGGTCCCAGTTCTGAAGTTTTTTCTGACTTTTTCTGCCCTGTGGGCATTAAGAGGGCCTTTTCATCAAGCCCATCCTGGGTTCAGTCAGGCCCACAAGAGAGCAATCGGATGGTGAAAGACAAAACCCAACATATCTGGGATGGACTACCCCTAGAAAAATTCCTGGGGTTTTTGACCCAAGTGGATTCATTTCCAGATTCCCCAACTAATCATCTCTTTTCTCAGTGAAATGTAGCATTTTACTGAGCAACATTTTGTATGGTATATACAGAATTTGCAGTATACATCATACAAATGACATTTTACATGCTGTGGACATTTTTATACATAGAAATCACCCATAGGATATGTGCATTATGCACATGATACACGTTTTTTTCACTCAGCACAAGTTCTACAGTGGTAGGTTTTGGAACTAAATTTTTCCCCCACAGAAATTTCTCCCACATGTCCTGCAACATCATCACACAATATTTGGTTTCATTTGCATTGCTATATGTCCCTCTAGATGGTGCTGAATAGAGATACTTTAAAAAATTATGATCACCTTATATATTGATCTGAAAGACTGATACAACAACTTAAGGATTAATTAAATAAAAAACATTATCAATTAAATAGATTATTAACTCAAATAAGAAAATACTTTTCTTACCTGATTTTCATCTAACTTGTCTGTAATTATTGTCCAATCACCAACAGAATCGGAATCTCCACTTTCAGCCATAAAGTTAAATCATTTAAAACGTCAAACTTGAACTGAAATATAAAATCAATCATTTAAAATTTCCATGTATTCAATATAGTGCATTTCTTATACAGTAGACTCTCACTAATTTGGCCATTCCATGCTCAGAGGAAGTGCCAAATTATGCTAATTAAGTGCTTTTTGTATCTTAACATAATTATCTGTGTTAACATTAATGTAAACAGCAGCTAGTGTGCTTAATATATTTTTCCTTTCTCTTGTATTGTTTATGTCATATTTT